CACACACACACACACACACACACACACACACACACACACACACACACACACACACACACACACACACACACACATTCACATACCCATACAGACAGGTCCTAAAGACAAAAAAGAAAATCAACCCCCACGGCCTCCGATCACCTTCCCCATAGATCCTAAAAACCTTAGAAAACTGACGGCGGCATTCAAAAGCTTCCGCCGGCCCCTTTTCCAAAAACCCACCCCCCCTTTAGATCCTGCTGGATAACTGCACTCCCTAGGACCCACCCCCCATGCAAAAACACCCCCCTCAACCGGTAAAGCACTGCACCCTCACCCGCAACTACGACAATACAGAACGGCAGATAGGACAAAAACCGAAAAAACGCCCCCACGGCATCCCAACATCCCCCAGCAGCCCAATACTGCCAAAGAAAACAAAGAAGACAAAATGTATCACCATGCCACTACAGAACTACAGCGGAAACGACACCTACGCAAAGGCAGAGTACCCGAAGAAACGGGAAGACCCTGACGGTTCGGCATCGTGCGCCCTTCCGCCATACCCGCGCGGGTTCACACGTCATCGAAGAAGACGAAGCTCGCGCCTTGAGCCACTAACTACAGCACTTCGTCCCCCCCTTTTTTCTTCTTCCCCCTCCAACCAAAAAAAAACCCTCTCGGTCAGGAGGGAAGTGACACTCCCCCTCTAAGCATGACTGCCCAACTTCGAAGTACGCTGACTAGCCTCTTCTCTACCCTCCCATTCCCCCTCACCGTGCCCATAACACACATAAAAATGAACTCTCTCCTCCCTCACTACATCTCGCTCTCTCTCGGAGCCCGGGAACTCCATACCAAACTAAGCTCAGCTATACCCTCGAGGAGTAACCGCCGCAACCAGCGACTGCCTCTACGGTCTCTCCTCCTCCCTCCTGGTCTCCTACTCCTATTCTCTCTGCTGCGCTCACTTCTCCCTCAACGGTAGCGAGTTCTTATCTCCTCCTTGCTGCGATCTGATAGGGCGCGGCTTCCTCAGCTATGGCTGACTCGGCGATCGACACCTTCACCTTCATTCGGTGAGTCGAGTGTGGATCTCATGTGTTAGGTCATATCTTTGAGTCTTCTGCTGCGCTACATTGCATTATATCGTTTTGTTTCGAGTCCTGTTCATCACACTGGCGCTCCTTGGACATGTGCACCACCCATCTTCAGATGAACATGCATCACTCTCTCTCTCTCTCTCTCTCTCTCTCTCTCTCTCTCTCTCTCTCT